AAATGATGTTGGGAAAGTTGAACAATACATGGAACTTCTTAAGACCACCTTTTTATACCATATACACCATATTCAAGAATAAACTCAAAATGAATTAAAAACTTAAATGTAAGACTCAAAACCATAAAACTCCTAAAAGAAAACCTAGGCAGTAAAATCTCTGAATCTCTCTTAGCAATGTATTTTTTTCCTGATATATCTTCTTGGAAAAGGGAAACACACACACACACACACACACACACATGCACACGCACACGCACACGCACACAAATAAACAAATGGGAGTATATCAAACTAAAAAGATTTTGCACAGTAAAGGAAACCATCAACAAAATGAAAAGACAACCCACTGAATGGGAGAATATATTCACCAATGATACATCTGATAAGGGATTAATATCCAAATTCATAAAGAACTCATTCAAATCAACACCAAAAACAACAAAGAATCCAATTTAAAATTGGCAGAGGTCCTGAACAGACACTGCTCCAAAGAGGACACACAGATAACCAACAGACATATGAAGAGATGCTCAACATCACTAATATCAGAGTGATGCAAATTAAAACCACAATGTGATTATCACCTCACACCTGTCAGAATGGCTATCATCAATAAATCAATAAACAAGTGTTGGTGAGGATAGGGGGAAAAGGTAATTCTAGTGTACTGTTTGTGGGACTGCAGATTGGTGCAGCCACTATGGAAAACAGTATGGAGGTTACTCAAAAAATAAAAACATGGAATTGCCTTATGACCCGATGATTCCACTTCTGGGTATATATCCCAAGAAACTCAAAGCAGTACTTCAAAAGAATATATCTACCCCTATGTTCATTGCAGTGTTATTTGCAATAGCCAAACTATGGAAGTAACCTAAGTGCCCATCAACAGAGTAGATAAAAAAGTGGTGGTACATATATATATAATGGAATATTACTCGGCCACAAAAAAATCTTACCATTTGAGAAGGCATGGATGGACCTGGAGAATATTATGCTAAGTGAAATAAGTCAGTCAGTGAAAGACAATTAGCATATGATTTCACTTATATGTGGAATGTAAAGAACAAAACAAACAAAATTGAAACAGACTCATAGACAGACAACAGAAAACAGACTAATGGTTCACAGAGGGGAGAGGGATTGGATGAAAAAAGATGAAGGGATTAAAAAGTACAAATTGGTGTCCTGGCCACTATGGTTCAGTTGGTTGCGCATCCTTCTGTGCACTGAAAGATTGCTGGTTCAATTCCCATTCAGAGAACATGACAAGGTTGTGGGCTCGATCACCAGTAGGGGGTTTGCAGGAGGCAGCAAAATGATGTTTCACTCTCACATTGATGTTTCTCTCTCTCTCCCCCTCTCCATTCCTCTCTCTCTAAAAATCAATAAAAAAAAGTTAAATTGGTAGTTAAAATAAAATCACAGGATGTGAAGTCCAGCACAGGGAATCCTATCTAATAAAAGAGAAACATGGTAATTGGCGTACGACCACTACCCTTCCCATTGGCTAATCAGGGCGATATGCAAATTAACTGCCAGCCAAGAAGGCGGCAGGCAGCCAGGCAGCTTGAAACTAACTTGAGGCTTGCTTGCTTAATTGACGGAGGAAACCAACGTTCCCCGCCTGCCTTGCCGGCCTCTGAGCCTGCAGTTTGAAACAATAACAAATATAGAAGCTAAACAAAACCCCAGAAACCTGCTTTCAGCCCGCTGGGATCTCAGAGCTGGAGTCATACATTGTTTCGATTATAGAACCGAAACAAACCAGACACCTGCTTTCAGCAGCAGAGGCCTAAGAGCTGGAGCCTCAGAGCTAAAGCTGGCCCAGAATAAAAAAGAAAAAAGAAAAAAAGGAGCAGTTGGGAGCTTCCGTCACCCGCCAGCCTGAAAACAGCCCTCAGCCCCTCACCCAGACTGGCCAGGCACCCCAGTGGGGACCCCCACCCTGAAGGGTGCGTGACCAGCTGCAAACAGCCATCATCCCCTCACCCAGGCTGGCCAGGCACCCCAGTGGGGACCCCCACCCTGATCCAGGACACTCTTCAGGGCAAACCAGCCGGCCCCCACACGTGCACCAGGCCTCTATCCTATATAGTAAAAGGGTAATATGTCTCCCGGCACCGGGATCAGCGTGACAGGGGGCAGCACCCAAACCCCCTGATCACCCTGGGGCTCTGTGTGTGACAGGGGGTGGGGCCACAACCTCCCTATCGGCCCTGCTCTGTTCGTGACGAGGAAGGCGCCCCAACCCCCTGATCAGCCCTGCTCTGTGCCTGATAGGGGGGAGCTACCCAACCCCCTGATCGCCCTGCGGCTCTGTGTGTGACAGGCTGCGGCGCCCCAACCCCCTGATCGGCCCTGCTCTGTGTGTGACAGGGTGCGGCGCCCAAACCCCCCCCACCCCCCCACGGGCCCTGCTCTGTGTGTGACGGGGTAGAGACATAACCTCCCCATCAGCCCTGCCGTGAGTGTGACAGTGGCGGCGCCCCAACCCCATGATCGGCCCTGCTCTGTGGGTGACAGGGGGCGGTGCCCCAACTCCCCTATCAGCCCTACTCTGTGAGTGACAGGGGGGAGCTCCCCAACCCCCTGATTGGCCCTGCTCTGTGCATGACAGGGGAAGCTCCCCAAGCCCCTGATGGGCCCTGCTCAGTGCATGACAGGGTACGGAACCCCAACCCCCCTGATGGGTCCTGCTCTGTGAGTGACGGGGGTGGCGCCGCAACCTCCCCATCAACCCTGCCTTGAGTGTGACAGGGGGCGGTGCCCCAACTCCCCAATCGGCTCTACTCTGAGCGTGACTCAGGGTGGCATCGCAACCTCCTGATCGGCTCTACCCTGAGCGTGACTCAGGGTGGCATCGCAACCTCCTGATCCGCCCTGCTCTGTGCATGACAGGTGTGGCGCCCCAACTCCCCAATCAGCCCTGCTCTGAGCCCAACCAGGGGCTGCACCTAGGGATTGGGCCTGCCCTCTGCCACCTGGGAGCAGGCCTAAGCCAGCAGGTCATTATCTCCCGAGGGGTCCCAGACTGCGAGTGGGCACAGGCCGGGCTGAGGGACCCCCCCTCCCCCCCCCGAGTGCACAAATTTTTGTGCACCGGGCCTCTAGTCTAAACTAATAATAGACAAACATGGTAACTGACCATACCTTCGCTATGCTTCCCATTGGCTGATCAGCAGGATATGCAAATTAACCCAACCAAGATGGTGGCCGGCAGCCATGCAGCTGAAGCGGGCAGGAAGCTTGCTTGCTCCAGTGATGGAGGAAGCCAAGCTTCCTCCCTGCTGTGGCTGGGCTCTGAGCTCCACTCTAAGCAACAAAGTTGCAATTATAGAAGCTAAACAAACCCCAGATACCTGCTTTCAGCAGGCTGTGGCCTCGGAGCTGGAGCGGCAACAAAGTTTCAATTATAGAAGGTAAATAAATCCCAGATTTAAAAAAAAGGAAAAAAAGGAGAGGCTGGGAGCTTTAGTCGCTAGCTTGGCCAGCCTGAAAACAGCCATCAGCCCCTCATCCAGACTGGCCAGGCACACCAGTGGGGACCCCCACCCTAAAGGGGGTACAGGCAGCCTGAAAATAGCCATCAGCCCCTCATCCAGGCTGGCCAGGCACCCCAGTGGGGACCACCCCCCTGAAGGGGGTGTGACCAGCTGCAGCCATCAGCCCCTCACTCAGGCTGGCCAGGCACCCAAGCGGGACCCCCCCCACCCTGATCCGGGACACCCTTCAGGGCAAACCAGCCGGCCCCCACCTGTGCACCAGGCCTCTATCCTATATAGTAAAGGGTAATATGCAAACTGACCCTAACAGCAGAAAGACTGGGAATGACTGGCCACTATGACACACACTGACCACCAGGGGGCAGACGCTCAATGCAGGAGCTGCCCTCTGGTGGTCAGTGAGCTCCCACATGCAGGAGCTCTGCTCAGCCACAAGCCAGGCTGATGGCTGCCAGTACAGCGGTGGTGGTGGGAGCCTCTCCCATCTCCTCAGCAGCGCTAAGGATGTCCGACTGCAGCTTAGGTCTGCTCCCCGCTGGCAAGTGGACATCCCCCGAGGGCTGCCGGGCTGCCAGATGGATGTCTGATTGCCATCTTAGGCCCAATTCCCCGGGGAGCAGGCCTAAGCCAGCAGGTGGTCATCCCCCGAGGGGGCCCAGACTGCGAGAGGGCACAGGGTGGGCTGAAGGACCCCCCTCTCCTCCGAGTGCACACATTTTTGTGCACCGGGCCTCTAGTACAGTCAATAATATTGTAACAACTATGTATGGTACCAGATGGGTACTGGAAATATTGGGAGGGGGTAGCACTTTGTAAAGTATATGATTGTCTATCCACTATTCTGTATATCTGAAACTAATACAAAATAATATTAAATGTAAACTGCAAACAAAAAGAATAAAATCTTGCCATCTGCAGCACCATGCATGAACCTAGAGGCTATTATGTCAGACAGAGAAAGACAAATGCCATATTATTTCACTTGTATGTGGAATCTAAAAAAACCAAAATAAACAAGCAGACTAGAAACAGACTCACAGATAGAGAACATTTGGATGGTTGCCAGATGGAAGGGGGTTGGGAGGATGGGTGATAAAAAGGTGAAGGAGTCAGAAGTACAAATTGTAGTTATATAATAGTCATAGGTATGTAAAGCACAGCATAAGGAATATAGTCAATATTGTAATACCTTTTATGGTGTCAGATGGGTACTAGATTTATTGGGGTGATCATTTCCTAAATTATATAAGTGCTTAATCATGGGTTTTATACCTGAAACTAATATAATATGTATGTCAACTGTAACTGAAAAAAAAAAAAAAAGGAAGGTGCTAAAACATTTGAGAATCTAGTGAATGACAGGCAGAAACTTTACAGAAAAACAGAGCACAGAGGATGAAATCCTAACCCTTTGTAATACAAGATGAACAATGTGTCAACCATGTGAACAGGCACATGCACAGATAAGACTATTGGCTAATGGGGTGTTACCTTGGCAACTGTTTGTTCAGCAATGGTGCTGGGCCGCCGCTGGCGGGCATCGAGCCTCTGCTCCACAGGAAAACTGCTCCTATGTGATTTCAGGCGCTCCACCAACAAGTAATAAATGGCAGCGAAGTGATTGTAGCTCTTGTTCTGCAAAGACTGAAAGAGAAAACAAGTGCTGAAGGCCAAGAGCCATAAAAATCAATCCAATGATCTATACCTGTCTAAAAAAAGATGGAAGAAATAATGTTTTCTTTCTTACAAACAGAGTAACAAAGTATGCCTCAAAATAAAAGCTATTCCAGAGTTTAGAATAAAAGACAGATCTAGTTTTAATTATATACAGGGTGATACCTTTATTTATTTATTTTTTAAAAATATATTTTATTGATTTTTTACAGAGAGGAAGGGAGAGAGATAGAGAGTTAGAAACATCGATGATAGAGAAACATCGATCAGCTGCCTCCTGCACACCTCCTACTGGGGATATGCCCGCAACCAAGGTACATGCCCTTGACCGGAATCGAACCTGGGACCCTTCAGTCCGCAGGCCGACGCTCTATCCACTGAGCCAAACCGGTTTTGGCCAGGGTGATACCTTTAAATGACAGGCCCTTTGATATTAACAGGATCCATTTATTTTTCTGCATTCAGAGAAAATGCCATCACTGTCTCATGCAGACATTCCCCAATGCTGTCATGTGGTTCCATCTCATAGCTGTAACTATGGCGTAAGGTTGGTTAGCAACCTGAGCCCAGAGGCTCTAAATCTATAGCTTCTACATAGGTACAAGCCATTGCACTCTGAAGTGACTGATTAAAGTCTTTGGGGAACTTTCTGGTGATTACTTTAGGCTGGAAAATGACATTTGGATGCTCTATTGAGAGACTCTGTGTCTCCGTTCCTCAGTAATTTTTTCCTCTTGCTTTTGCAATCCAGCCCTCTTGAAACCTTGAATATAAAGTTGCTTCCCAATTTTTCACATTCCTCGTCCGCCAGATTTCCCAGGGCACTAAGGAAACGGAGAAACAACTGCTCCTTTCACTTCCAATTCCACCTGACAGTCTGCCTGGGCGCTGTGCAGTACACCTCAGAGGGCAGAGCACTCAGCACAAATCCCAGGCCAGTGGAACTGTGCTCACAGCTGCCACTCTGTACCTACTTCATGGACAAGTACAGGAAAACATCAGAGTGCATGACAAGCAAAGCAGGAAAGCCAGTCTGGTTTCACTTATGGCTACACTGAAGGAAAAGGCAGTACAGTTCAGAGCACTTAATATTCATAAGGAAGCATTTAATATTTTTTGTTATGGTCCCTCCTTATAAGTACTATTTTCTGTTTGTTTTACTTTTGTGTAGGTATTAAGAATATGTATATCTTATGAACATGCTATTAAGGAAAGAAAGACATGAAAGTGATGAGAAATTTTCTAGGTTCAAACCTTCTCGTACTTCCATATCAGGAATCTACCTGTTTTTGTCATCTCAGTTTCTCCAGTTCACAAGCTAAATCCAGTTGGCTTTCCTAAATCTGATGCCTACCATTCTTGTTTTCTGCTCAGCCCTCAGCCTTGTTCCATAACTGCACATTTATGTTCCATATAAACTAGTTTATTACCTATGTCAAACGTTATGGTTCATCTTAGAAGAAACTTGCTCTTTGTATTTATTAAGCTTCTGTCTTTGTCTTTTTCTCAGACCTATATACACTGAGTGGCCAGATTATTATGACTGGCCAGATTATTATGACCACCCCATCAGTACTTCGTTGGGCCACCTTTTGCCTTCAATACTGCGGTGATTCTTCTTGGCATTGACTCCACGAGATGTTGAAAGGTGATGTGAGGAATCTGACACCATGCCTGATGAATAGCACTGCCCAATTCTGTGAGATTTGATGGTTGTGGAACCAGATGCCTGATGGCTCTTTTAACTTCATCCCACAAATGCTCAATTGGATTGAGATCTGGTGATTGTGGGGGCAACCTAAGCAAGGTAAAGTCTCCCTCATGTTCTTGAAATCACTCCTGCACAATACTAGCACCGAGGCAAGGCGCACTGTCTTGTTGGAAGAAGCCGTCTCCATTGGGATATGCCATCAACAGGATGAAGTTGATCAGTAACGATACTTAGGTATGTTGTGCTATTCAAACATTTATAATGATCTGGCCCTCTAGCAATTTCAGCGGGAAATTATAGCTAATTTGCCTACAAACATCAGGTGGTCATAATAATCTGGCCACTCAGTGTATACCATTCCTCTTGAGTTTTTTGGCAGATGGGGCAAAGGTAGGAATTTATACGTTGAGTAAAAGCAAAAAAACACACAAACATCTGATTAATCTTCAGGGAATATTGAACAGTATGTCTAGGTGCTGGGGATGGCCATGCTAAACGACTAGGCTGATAGGTATGAGCATGAAATTACAAGTTACTGAGTACAACAGAATCCTAAAATTTTTTCAGTCAAATTTCTGATCACTTTACCTCAATGGTTTTCTGCTGATCTATTCCAAGGCTGTGCATCAGTCGCAGAACCTGTTCATTAAACTCCCCAATGGATGGCTCATTTTCTTGGCCTTGTGGATAGAGAACAGGTCTCTGTACAGGAACTTCTATGAGCATCCATTTATGCTCCTTGATTTGAGCTATGGTTAGCCTTTTGGACGGGTCTAGGACCAACATCCTTCGAATAAGGTGCTCACAATCTATGGAAAACACAATGGTACAAAAGTCACGTCAATCGCCTTGCACTTCAGGGTGTTTGCTTTATTCATGTGACTTTGTACAATGGCAGTAATCTTTGTGTCCTCCACAGTGCCTACTGGAAAGCAGAAGGTCAAATGAATAAATAAATACATAAAGGTTACTTATATTTGTCAAGTACTCAGGGTGAATGTTGACACACAAAATTAACCATCACTGTGAATGAATACTTAAGAAAAACAGGAGGCTGGAGGCCTATCCAATTTTGTGCTAAATGAACTGCTTTATCAACTGAAAATATCTAGACACAGACTTAGATTTCCACTAGAGGAAAAAACAAGCCTTCTTCCTAAAATAAGCAAATAATAAATGATCCTCAGTTATGTCTAAGACTCTGTGAGGCAAGAGCTAGCCTGTGGACTGTTGCTTTCTCCTCATCAGTGCAACTGAGACAAATGTATGTGAAATATTACTCCTGATTACACTAAGAAAACTGTACTGCTGCAAATCTGGGCACCAGCTTATTTCCTGAGCTGAAATCATGCTCTTTACCATCCCACATAAGCTTGGATCACTTGGTAGGTGCCAGGAATTCTGCTAAGTGCTTTATACAGATTAATTAATCCTCACAACAGCTCTCTTAGGAACTATGGTTTTTTCCATTTTATAAATTGAAGAAATGGAAGAACAGAGAGGAGATATGAGTGAACTTAGGATTGAAACCAGGCAGTCTGGTGCTAAGGTCTACACTCTTAACTACTGAAGCATCATTTCTACCGTTTCTAGGAACAAAAGCATTAAGGGTGATAACTAAAAACTAATCTAAGGAGTAAACCTAACTGCTGCCTATGTGAATGAATTTCGTCCACCGGGCCTCTAGTCCAATATAAAACTGGTTGGGATTACAGCACTTCATCTTATTCAATAGTTTTGCCAGTTGGTTTTCAAACTTAATTTAAACATTTCAATTTTGCAACTTCCTGCCAAAAGATATGATAAAATCCATTTCAAACTTAGGGTAAAATGGTTGTGAATCTGTATCTACAAAGAACTTCTCTAAGGCTAAAATAAATGTGGGACATTTATAGACGGAGAATGAATGGGGATACTTGTGTTTTTAATCTGGGAAACTTGTTGTTTTCAGTTAGGAAGGCTGGAACTTTCCTCACCTACACGGAGAGAGTTGCTTATTTCTATGGCTTTTAAAGTAACTCAGTCACTTCATTTAGCAACCAAACTCTTAGAAAAAGGGAGGCTTTGCCTACGCGTTTCATTAGGAGCACAGACTCCGTAGTGCCCAATTAGTAAGATGAACAGGTTGTTACCTTCTGACATGAAATACGGAATCCGGAATCTTCCTTCCAAAACCCTTTGCCTCAAAATAGGAAGAGTGGGTCCATCAAAAGGCAGAGCTCCACAGACAAGGACATAAAGAACAACTCCCATGCTCTAGGGGAAGAAAATAACGGGGTAATTTTCATACCGAGAACTTCAAACACTCTTTGCTTCCCAAAATATCCCTTAATATCCTATGGACTAAAAAAATTTCTGTTTGAATGTACTATTTTCTTGAATTTGAAAAAAAATCTGAAATGCTAATTATTACAATAAAGTATCCTATAAATATCAAAATATGTTAATCATTTGATTTCTACTTAACTTTAAATTACTGCTGCTGTTAGAATAAGAACATGTGTCCTTAGAAATTCTTTCCTAGAATCCAATTCAAGATGATCAACTAATTATAGTCCAATGGGTAAGGAAAGTATGAACTACTGCCTATGTGTCAGATACAAGAGCTTTAAAGATGAGCCAAAGTACCAAGTATTATCTTTATAGATGCATTTAACACAACACAGCAAAGCAAAGAAATACCCAAATATCCAGCTGTGGTCCTTCATACTGCTGCCCTTCAAAGACTTCTGGGGCTGCATAAGGGGGGCTGCCACACCAAGTTGCCAGCAGTTCACCACTTTTAAAGAAATTTCCAAAACCGAAATCTGTTGGAGTGGAAATAAATGTTACTTTCATCTATGGTCTCAAACTATACTCAATTTCTCTGTAACAAATTTTATATGCTATATTAACGTTATCACTGCTATTTACTTTGTGAGGAATGGGATGACATCTATTCCATTTTCCTAGCACTCAGCATATATTCAGCATTCAAAAAATATTTCTTGAATGAATGTATTAATGAATCAAGTTTTCTTCTCAAAGATAATAAGAGATTAGAAAAAATACTTTAATACTGTATTTTTAAGGCTGAAAGAAAATCCATTGGTGTGGACAACAAATTGAATTTGATAATCTCAGAATTTTAATCACTCCATGATTTAAGAGTTAGCTGTCTTAATATGGTTTACAAGAAAGGAACTAATGAGTAAAACTCTAAGAGATTTACCTAAACACAACCAAGTGACTGGCTGTTCCTACAGTCATTATCCCAGGGCAGCAAAATGTATAACCTTTTAAGGCAACTGAGTACAGTGTTTCCTAAGTAACAACTCTCTAAGTGCTGGCCCATGCATCTTGATATAGGCAGATACCTACCTGAATAGCTAATTAACATGTGATGGCTACATGGCCCAGTCACAGGCCACCTATCACCAGTACTTACTCATTTGTGGAATGCAGTGGCATTACACTTCAAAACAGTTAATGGCCTTCCCCAACTACTCATACTGAATCTACATCTTCAATATACAGCATGCACTCTGGAAATACTATACTCACATGCCTTCAATATGCATGAAAATTACAGCAGAATTCAGTGAGCTCTGGTATAAACACAAGCTTGTGCCCTTCTGCTCAGCCTTCACATAGTCTCATGTTCTTACTGACGAAACAAGTTCCTATTATTTTGTCAGGTATAGCCCCACTGTTCTGTTACAGCCTGACTGAAGAACACTGCCCTAGTGACAGGTACTGGCTCTGCACAGCACTGATGGACAGTGAGCGGCCCCAGGGGACTGGATCAAGTCTCTAGTGCCAGACTGACTGGCTGTGTGACTTTGAATCAGTCTTTGTGAGCCTTAGTTTCCCCATCTGTAAAGCTGAAATAATAAATATACATAGTCAGCAGGTTGTTGTGGGAATCCAATGATAATATAAACTCACAATCTTCACACCTTGAGTTTGTACCTTACGTGGAAGCATTCTCTCAGCTAGTTGATTTAAAGCTGGTGGCAACCAGCAGTGTCAGTAACAACAGTCACAATCTCCAACATTACAGCTTCATGGCAGAGTACAAACTAGGAAGTTAGGGAGAACTAGAGCTGGCCTCCCATTTTGCCACTTTCTAGCTTCAAGTCCTCTAGGGAAGTAATTTATCTTCCCTGAACCATAGTTTCTGTATCTATAAATGTGGGGATACCCACCTGCCAAACAGGATGCTGCGAGGATTAAGCCAGATTAAGAGTATAAAATGCCTGGAGCCTATGTGAAACGAGCTCCCTTCTCCTTGTGTGGAGCATCATTATCAACTACCGCCTTTCAGAGAAAAAGGTCCTGAGAAAACACACAAGAAAGGTAGGAAAAGTATAGTGGAGCTCAAGGGTTCAGAAGAGAAAAGGGTGCATGGGGGAGAGCCTCAGGCGCAGTCTACACCTGGTGGAGCAACACTGTGGTCTGTCCTTGGCATCCAGGAGTACGAGACAATGAGAACTTCCTTCTCAGCTTCAGTCCTATACTCTGTTTTCCAAAAAGACTGTGAGAAAGGTCTTATTTTCTCAATCCCACCTCTAAGACTAGCGACTCACCACACAATATATGTCCACACTGATACACTTCTAATAATCTAGAAAACCTATATTCTCAAATGAGTCAAGAACTACATGTTCAAATAATATTTAAAGAGGAAAATGTTAATTTCACGCACACAGAAAAGCACACAGAGCTCTGCATGAGTGTTTGGAGATCCTGAAATAGGTCCGATAATTGCTGTGCTTCAAACCATAATCACAGGATGAGTTTTAGCACACGTAGTTGAGGATACACTCCAAGCAGCATTGTAAAGTTTTAATGTCTCAAAAAGCCATTCCAGAACTCCTTCATTCGGAACTTTCCTGGACTCTGGTGGAATGAACTCAGGGGTGACTGGGCAGGGGCTGGGCAGGAAGCAGCCTGGCCTTTTTATTGCCTGAGCTTGCTCACTGTACATTTCCTAGGCATGAAGAGGCGAGGGCAAGGAAAGCGTCACGTGCTTGTGACATTCCAGGCTCAACCTTGGCTTTACATGTCTAGGACACAGAAGTGTCTTGTTAACTTGTGAGGAGTGGTTACCAAGCAGATGTATACTTCTATCTCCTGTAAGTAACTAAAGAAAATTGGAACTTGAGCCTGTAGAAACAATAAAACACCAAAAGACAATGAGGTTTATGAAGGCTATTATTAATGGCATATATGCAGATGTTTTCTATAAGCTTGTCAAAGTGCTTATACACATTGTATTTGTAATCAATCATCTGATACACCAGTGAAGGAAAACTGTAGAGTCAGGCAGATTTGGACTCAAATCCTGGGTTTTCACTTAGCTGTGTGATCTTGGATAAATTACTTAACTTCTCGAACAGAGCCTTGGTTCATCATTTGCAAAATGGGGATAATACCTACACTTCATAAAGTCTCTGTGAGCAACTTATTGTATATTATCTATACTAATAAAAGGGTAATATGCTAATTAGACCAGGAGACCTTCAGGGAGATCTTCCAGACATCCTTCCAGACAAAGCCATGGTGGCGGGGCTGAGGCAGAAGTGGTTGGGATGATCAGGACAGGAGGAGAGGGCAGTTGGGGGTGATCAGGCCAGTGGGGGGGGGGGGCAGTTGGGGGCGAGCAGGCTGGCAGGGGGGAAATTGGAGGTGAGCAGGCTGGCAGTGGAGGACAGTTGGGGGAGATCAGGCTGGCAGGGGGGGCAGTTGGGGGCAAGCAGGCTGGAAGGCAGGTGAGCGGTTAGGAGCCAGTGGTCCCAGATTGGAGAGGGTGCAGACCGAGCTGAGGGACAACCCTCCACCCCCTGTGCACGAATTTCGTGCACCAGGCCACTAGTCTATTATAAATAGATAATATATAATGCATGAGTTACTCAAAAGAATAGAAGAATAGTAATTCTTCCTCTTCTTGCTTTACTTATCTGCCTTCTCCATCAGACTAAACTCCTTGAGAGTAGAGAGGGGAATGATATATGTCTGAACTCCCAGCACTTAGCACATGCTCTCTGTAGAGAGCAGCCATTCAATGAGGGTTTGCTGATGAATATACTGTCATCTCTCTTGGAAGTACTTACTATGTGTCAGAAACTTCTCTAGGCCCTCTGAAGATGATTTCTTCTTAATAACCCCCTTTGGTATTCTTACAGGGTTATTAAGAGAAAGTGAGGGTAGAAAGTTAAGGACCTTGCTAGAGTTTATACTAAGTTGTAGAACTGGAATGGAAACAAAGTCCTCAATGTTAACTGCCACCTTTGTGTCCTTCCTGGCAGTGATTTGTAACTATTTTTGAGCAAATTAATAATGGTCAGGTTTAAGAAGTGGCAATGGAAAGGCACTTAAAAGGAAAGCTTTTATTTCTTCACAGGAATCTGGATGACTTGCTTCACTCAGTCTGCAGCTTTCTGCCTAGAAGCACACAGTAAAATGAAGGATGAGCAAGAGGGATGAGATACGAAAATGGCACAGCTATGCAGGATTTGTTTCTTATCGCCATTTATTCAAATGCAATGCATTAATGTGTCATCCTACCAACCAAATTCACTGCATTCTTTCATTAAACATTTGAGTGCATACATGGATCAACCACTGTGCAAACACAGAAGAGGTTCTAACTACAACAGAGGATAATAAAAGACAGTACATTTTCATCTGAATTTTGGAAAGCATTAAGAAAACAATCACTTGAGCATTATTCCTCTTTATGCTAGACCCAGATCCAGCCTGGCCTGCTGGAAAGGAAAGATTCTTCTAGTCTAATTTCTTCTGCAGTGCTCTGATCTGTAAGTTAATTCCTAACACGATGGCTGCTATGTCCCTCAGCCGTTGTTTCCTGTTTCTCCGTCATAAATTGTATGCCATATAATGTTGAATTCGCTTTGTCATGAATATTTATTTTATTGTTTGGGTTGCAATTCAATACTACTGTTATACTGTTATTTATTTTGATGCTTTGGCCATTAGGAGCTAACTCAGGTTGGCTCCTTTCAACATGTCATGTCTTTTAAAAATTTCATTTTAGCCCTGACCGGCTTGGCTCAGTGGACAGAGCATGGGCTTGCAGACTGAAGGGTCCCAGGTTCGATTCTGGTCAAGAGCATGTACCTTGGTTGTGGGCACATCCCCACTAGGGGGTGTGCAGGAGGCAGCTGATGGATGTTTCTCTCTCATCAATGTTTCTAACTCTCTATCCCTCTCCCTTCCTCTCTGTAAAAAAATCAATAAAATATATTTAAAAAAATAAAAATTTCATTTTAAGTATTTCCTTATTTTTTGGCAACAGAAGATGTTCCAGGCTCATCTTGCATTTTCCCTACCCCAGCCTTGAAATCAACCACTTTCCCAGAGGGGACCTGGTTCCCTTTACAGAGGAATGACATTTAGAAACCAAGACTAGGACCTAGAGGAGCTCATCACAACTGGGATGTCACTGCTTCTAAGCCCTGTCAGCAGACAGTTAGGAAGTGTATGTATGAGTGCTAGTTCATAATAAATACTTGTATTTATTTTTGTACCTATCTATATGTATATATGTTTTCTTAAAACCCTTCATTTCATACTGATACTTCTCACACTGATCCAGGGTTCAGCCTAGAATTTTTATTTATTTATTTATTTAAAATACATTTTATTGATTTTTTACAGAGAGGAAGGGAGAGGGATAGAGAGTTAGAAACATCGATGAGAGAGAAACATCGATCAGCTGCCTCCTGCACACCCCCTACTGGGGATGTGCCTGCAACCAAGGTACGTGCCCTTGACCGGAATCGAACCTGGGACCCTTCAGTCC